CTGAACAACAACAACAACAACAACAGCAACCAGCACTTTGAATTGAACCCAGAAGCAAATTGACAACCAATGCAGCTCGCGGAGCAGAGGTATAATGTGTGCTGATCAAGGAGGTGCTGCATTTTGCACTAGCTGAAGCTTCTGGATGCTCTTCAAGGGCAGCCTTGTGTAGAGTGAGTTACAGTAATCCATTTGTGAGATAACCAGAACATGAGTGACTGAGAATAGAGCCTTCCGATCTGAGAACAGGCACAACTGGCACACAACATGAAGTTGTGCAAAGGCCCTCCTGGTCACAACTAGCACCTGCTTTTTGAGAAGGAATCGTGAGTCCAGAAGGACTCACAGATTGTGCACAGGGTCTGTTTGGCATAGTGCAACCCTATCCAGCACCAAAGATGATAAGTCCCCGGAACCCAAAGGCCCCAAGACCCAAAGCTATCAGTCTTGCTAGGGTTGAGCTGAAGCCTGTTGTTCCCCAACCAAACCCCCACAGCTTCCAAACACTAAGACAGGAGATTAATATCTCTTAATTTGCAAAGAGTGGTGATATACAGCTAGGTATGATTTTAGTGTTTTTGGTAAATTAAAGGTCAGAATGAATCCTCCTTCCCCTGGAATGGCTACAACCTATCTCCCGTGGCCTATCACTGTAGAAATATGCTCTCACACCATATTCACTGCTAAGGCTCTCATGTCCCACCATCCATGTTCCAATTGTTTGCTGTGTTCCAATGCTACCTGACCAATTCCAACTTATGAGGTAGCAGTCTGGAATTCCACTCCTGCTGCTCACATCATTCCCAAACATGTCCTACACATCCCTCTCACACACATCCTTACCCAACCCAACAATCTCACATGTAATTCACTCCCATACATAAGGTCCTTCTTTCACTAGGGTCCAGGGTAATGGACTAGAAAGCCACCTATCAGGCAGGGGGTTGGGGACAACTCATCTGCCCAACATTTATTTAAATAGCCCCCCAGTTCACAAAAATCTGATACTACTAATATTTTGCAGTGTAGAAATAAAGTGGGACTTGCACCAAAACATAGATTTTGTTGCTCAAATTGTTTTTGTTCTAGCTAGTCATGCATTACTTCTTCCAAGGTACTTCTGTCCATTTATCATCGAACCAGTGAAGGTTCCTCCCAGATCTCCCTGTGACCATTGAGCATGATCAGTCTTCACAGGACTCTTGGGTTTCCAATTCCTCATATCCAGAGGAACCTTCTTTACATCTTTAACGATGAGTCAACTAAGGGTATTTTTGAAACATTTCTTTCCCACAGTTTCTACATCTGGGCTGTGTTTTTTCTTCTCATATAAACTGAATTTCTCTCCTGCTTGGTTCCCCGAGTTTCTCGCATACTTGGATGGAAGAGCACCAGGAAGTTCCAAAACTGTAGACTAGATTAATGGCAAACCACTTCTGTATTATTAAGAAAATCACAAATGACCATATAATGACCAGGAGCTGCACCCATTCAAAGGAGTCTTTACTTCTGATATAGAATTGTTTCATATCATAGCTAAGAAACCAATTCTTTCCTTCCAGTCACTAAGTTGTCCATACCACATCATGACAATTTGTTTTTCAATAACTAAAATGCTACAAACTGCAGGAGCTTAAGGAATTACTTCACATCTAATAGCCATACATTTGGAAATCCTACCATTTTTTACTAGCATTTGTTGTTGTCCCATTTCCCCACAGCCACTCCTTTCCCTTCGCATGCCACTGCAGTCCTACCCACATTGGTTGAGTTGTCATCTCTTGGAGCCATACCTGAAAGACAAGAAATGCAGCAAATTAGCTGATCAACACAACATTGTAAAACTTGGGGGATGTAGTCTTAATATACTCTATGAATGCTGCTGCCTCCTCAGGACAGGATTAGTCTTGGTTCAATTCTTTCTTTAAATTAAAGATAAATAAAATACAGGATGCTTCTACAGAGCATGAATTAGAATGAGAGGCAATACAAAACTTTATGGAAGCCATTCACTCATTCCCCTCTATTGAAAAGCTTTGGTTCAACCAATTACTCCTCCCAAGAGCAAAAGTGAGGGAGGAAGATGGGTCTACACTCTTGTAACTGTTCTTTTTGTGATTTAATACAGAACAAATGTCTTATTATAAGTAAAGATCATCTATCATTTAATATTTCTAAGAAGCAAAAGGAGCAACAAGTTCCACAAGTTAACTTATTCTATAGAGTAAAATTTCTGTATTTAAAATAAATATTCCAACCTTTTCCCTACGATTATCCAGTTGAAGTAGACTAGTGTCTTTAAAATGCCTGCACGACACCAAAGCTTCTTCCCATGTCACTCTTCTATTTTTTTCTATCAAGTAACATGTTCCCCGCCAGTACCACCAGCCAGCACCAAGGGAACATTTTAAGCTGTATAAGCCTGATACCATCAAAAAGGGAGAAAACATTGCCAATTAAATAGACATGAATTTATCCTCTATTTGCTTTCTATCCTATTCTTCCATTCCATCCACCCCAGCCTTTCAAATCATAAGAAGGCACAGGAATTTTTGGACTGAGAACAGGGAATACCATATTGCCATCCCTCCTCTACCAGCATGCAAGTAGTGTACAAGTAGTCCTCAATTTACAACCATTCATTCAACAACCATTCAAAGTTACGACGCTGAACGAATGGTCCTCAGAGTTCCAGCTGTCCCAGCACCACTGCAGTCACGTGATTGCAATCTGGGTGCTTGGCAACCAGCTCGCACATACAACCAGTTGCAGCGCCCCACAATGATACAATTGCCATTTGCAACCTTCCCTGCCGGCTTCCCCAGAAAGTCAATGGGGAAGCTGCCAGGGAAGTTTGCAAGTCACTAGGGTAAGTCTCACCCACCTGTGCACCCTCCCCCAGCCTCTGTGCGCTTGAGCCACGCTGGCCACTCACCCTCCCTTGCACAGTCTCCCTGAGCCTTGCCACACCTCCCTCACACCCTCACATACACTCTCCCTGAGCCTTAGCACACCTCTGCGCCACTTATGCACCCACACACACCTTCCCTGAGCCTCACCACACTTCTCCCACTACTCATGTACCCCTGCGCACCCTCCCCCACCTGGAAGCAGCCACTCCAAGCCTTGCTGCACTTGCACTGTGCCACTCCAGCCACCCATGCACCCCCATACCCCCTCCCCCACCTAGCAGCCCTCCCCCTGCTGGCCTGCTTGCGAGCCACCTGGGATTTGCAACTTCCTGCCAGCTTCCCTACTGATTTTGGTTGTGGGAAGCTGGCAGGAAGTTGAGAGAAGGTCCTCGCCTAACAACCGCTGCAATTCAGTTGTACTTTATAACTGTATTGTTTAGTGATGGAAATTCTGGTCACAATTGCCATTGTAGCTCGAGGACTACCTGTACTCCAGCACGATAGCCAGAAAGTCAAGAATTCAGAAATGTAATAAAGAACAATTATATTCAATTCCCCACACTCTTAGCTGCCAAGTACACTGATGTCATTTAAGTTAAGTAACATACAATTCTTTCTACATCCCTCTCTAGGGACAGACTAAAAAAAATGAACCCCTTTTTTTAAAAAAAGAAGGAAAACTTTACACATCATAATTAGAAAGATGAATGGGTCACAAATCATAACAGTTCTCTCTAAGGTATTTTTCAAGGCTTGGTCATGATGGAAATACTAATTTAAATGGCTCTGTGCCATTTAAGGGTGCACAGGTGGGTCTAGTAAGGGATGCAATCAGTGGCTCTAGTAAGGGACGCAATCAAATATCTTCCATTTATTGTTCAGTCAAAATTTTGGGTTCAATTATTCATATTGGGTTATTTTGTGGGTACAGTATGCAGCAATGATTATCAGCATACATTTGCTAAATATACACTAAATGTATATATAGTTTGCTATTATTTCTCCTAAGGTATGCATTTTTGTTTACATTTTTACCTAATGCACTAAACATTATTTTCAACATATATAATTTTATGCATATCCTTTCTTATAGTTTAAAAAGAAAGTGCTATAGAGAGAACACCACTGCAAAAGTCATGGAAGTAAAAAGGATAATGAAATATCAGTTCATGCATTTACTTGAAATTAGACATTCACATTAAAATGCTAACTTAATATCTCCCAACTCCATATCATTATAGACTCCGTCTGAAATTATGTTTTACATCTTGAAAGTTTAAAATGTACATCTGGAGTCACAAGAGAAAGTGATAATTATTATTGTGAATTCCTGTTCTCTGTTTCCTGGAGGGCATTCCATTTGTATCACTGTATTTCTCAAATAATATTATTTCTGCATTTGTATGAATGTTTTAATCCAGTTTATACTTAACTGTCATAAAAAGTCTAAATTGTTGCTTCTTGTCTTCCAGTTCAGTCTGGGTGGAAAATGTATCTCTACCCATTGGATTCAATATTCAAAACACTGGGCCCTGACTACTGTTCCAGAAAGAGCAATTTCTGACCACTGCTCCAGAAAGGGCACTCGTTTTCGAATGCATCTCTGGATATATGAGAACTGGAATTCAGAGTAAGAACCTTTTCCTTCTGGCTGAGCATTAATAACCTGAAATTTCAACTTTCCAGAAATTATTCCAAGCAGAACTTGACACACATTCTATCTTTTAACAGAACTAAATTTTCAGTTGGAATCTGGTTTCCTGAAGCTTTATTTTAAGCATTGAGAAAGATCCTAAAGCTATAGCTTCCCTTTTCAACTCATGGACACAAATTTCTATCTAGATAATTACACTATTTCACAATACCAGGAGAGGAGAGGAGAGGAGAGGGAGTTATTTGTTCTCAAATCTTGAAGCAGGTTTCCTACAAGTGTTTCTTAGATAGGTTGTGTGGTATTAAAAAAATACAAGTCCAGTAATTAGAGTTGCAATTAAAATTAGTAAGCAAGTATTTGTTTGGTTTTTTAAAGAAATCCACTCACCCAAAGAACATGTACCTATACTTTCTGGTGCTGAACAAACAATGGGTCTCTCGCATGTTCCACTTACAGGGTGACATAACTTCTCCCAATGGCAACGTGGGCAATTACCATCACACTCTTTTCCATAATATCCATGATCGCATACTTCAAAACAATAATAGTAATACACAATTATATAATATCTTAGATTGCCTTATGTATATTACTTTTAATCTTATAACAATTCTATAAAGATGATGATTATGATTATCTATGTACACATATATGTATTTTTGTAGGCTAGAAGAACTTGCCTAAATCCAGCGACTGAGCAGAAAATGGCAATTCTCAGTGTAAAACACAACATAATTGTGTATAATTGTCAAGTTGTCAACAGGAAAATACTTATCTTGTTTTATTGTTCTCAACTGCATCATAAGAACATATTTTTATAATCTTTAGCTAGTAGAAACATCTTTACTGTACACAATAATATTGGCCTAAGACTTCTGCTGTCATTTCCCAAATTTTCAAAATCTATTTTTTATAAATAAAACCCCAGCAACTTAAAAAAAAAATAGAGAAAAATCAGACATCCAAGAAATGTTTAAGCAAAGAAATGTTTGAAAGAAACTTTTAAAGAGTTTTAAAGAATGTGATATTTAATTTTTTTTAAAGAACAATCCACCAGAAAGAGAGATGGCAAGGAAACAGCATAGATGAAGTACATGTGTCATTTAAAACAACTCTGCAGAAGTTTAAACTTCTTACAGGTATAAAACTGAGAATGCAGAGCTCACATGAAGTACAGTACCAGCATGTTAAAAACTACTCTAACAACTTATATTTTAATAGCAAGGAATCTTTGATGAATTTCAACATTCATTCAATAATTCTGAATATTTGAGGGAAAAACTCTACAATTATAGTTACCTGATTTTAAAAACATCACACTTGGACCAAATCCTCCACCAACCAAACTATAGCCATTTAATAGGAAATATCCATTTCGCCATAAGCCATAGCCAAGGCACTCAGTCTTCTTAATACATTCATCTTTTGAGTCATTGTAAGAAGAATTGGCTGATAAACTTAATGTTGTTGAAATTACCACAGAATCCCAAAATCCTGCAAATATGTCAAGGTCTGTTCAGAAATAAAAAGATGTCATAAATCTATTTGTCAAACGTATTACTATATAAAAATATAAAATATAATCAGATTCTTATGGGTGAAGTAGAAATTGGTAGAGGGCACATGATGCAGAATGCAGTCAACTCTGGAATTTATCACATCAATTTACAATGACCACATACTTAAGCAATCAAGTCATTTCTCATGGTCAGTTATAATGGACAAATGACATGTTTATATAGTAATTAAAAATTCTTTAACCTCAAAACTTTAAGAAAGTAAATATTTCATTGCTCCTTAAAATGTTTTAAATCATACTAATTCTTTCCTTACTTTCCTTCACGATCACTGGCAGATTTCTTGTAGCAGAAAATTAATGAAGCATCTGTATGTGATGCTCACAAGGGAGAGCTACTTAAGAAAAAGTACTCATAATTTTGTTTCCCCAAACCCCAGTTACTGCTGTGGCGCTGGGGTGGCTGGCCATGGCATGGGGCTTGAGGCAGCACTC